GGGTGGGACAAAGAAAGGAAAAAGCAAAACAGAAATGACAGTGTGCTTGTAACACAGGCCACAAGGAACACAGAAAATGCTGCCTAGGTCAACGTCACAGTGCAACTCAGACAACATTCAGGAAAGGATTTGTTCATGGTGAGTGATGTTAAATAAAAGAAGGCACAAAAATCCCCCTTTGAAACTTGATGGGATTTTCAACCAGTTGGGCTCTTTCAAAGGAAAGTATTTGGACAAGTATCAAGCCTCTTATATTTTAGTCTTTTTCATTTTTGGCTAAGCCCTTGGACAAAGGATTTTGAATATCCTTGCTTGTGAAGCAGTTTCAGGTACCTCCTCTAAGGAAAAAAAATGGTGAGACTTCAGTACTGAAGGAAAAAGTCTAAAGATATTTAAAATATCGTTCTTGCAAAGTTCTGAAGTCATAATGAAGGTCAGAAGCTATTAGTGAAAATAGAAAGCATGGCATCTGGGCTTGAGTTCTGGCTGTAATGTGAATTCTGACTTGTTGCTAATGCATGCCATAGAAGGTTGCAGATGCTAGCTTAAAGAGTTGGGTCCCGACCAGCCACGTGGGAGACTTAGATTTGAGTTCTCAGATATCAGATAGAGCCTGGCTGGTCTTTTGGGCATTTGCAGGTTGAAGCAAGCCAGCAAATGGAAGCTCTGCTTGTCTATATCTTTCTCCCTACCTCTGAAATTGAGAAAAAAAAAAGGCTAAATTTATGTCATGTGAATTTTATTACCACTTAAAAATTAGTTTCTTGTGTTTCTCTTTGTATACTTAATTGAAAAAAAAAATATTCAACTACAGGAAAGTGTTTTTCATTTGACCCTGACCTCCCTGTCCCTTTCTAAGACACAGCGGACCAGAGACTCTACCCTCTCCTTGCCTTAACCCCCTTTAATCTTTTTTGGATAAGCACCCATATTTGAATTCACATACAAGATGAACTCAGAAATGTACCCCTCATTCTTTTCAATCTAGTCCATTTTTTAATAGTTGAGAACCAGGAAGTATTTTGCTCTGAGGCCACAAGCACACGGTACTTAAATGTCACAGGTGTCACTTTGTGCATGAACTGATGAAGTCCATCATGAGAACACCCACATTTATGCTTTTGAGCTGGCAACACTTTAAAAAAATTGTACTTATGAAACATTACCCATGTAATACTTTGGGTAGAGCTGAATTGCATGTGAAATTGTCCACGCCAGAGTTTTCTTTTTTCATATATATTTTTTAAAAAGGATGTATTTATTTTTATTGGAAAGACAGATATACAGAGAGAAGAAACAGAGAAAGATCCTCCACCTGCTGCTTCATTTTCCAAATGGCCACAACAGCCTGGAGCTGAGCTGATGTAAAGTCAGGAGCCAAGAGCTTCTTTTGGGTCTCCCACACAGGTGCAGGATCCCAAGGCTTTGGGCCTTCCTTGATTGCTTTCCCAGAACACAAGCAGGGAGCTGGATGGGAAATGGAGCAGCTAGTATACTAACTGGCACCATATGGGATCCTGGTGTGTGCAAGGCGAGGACTTTAACCACTAGGCTACCATGCCAGGCCCCACACAAGATGTTTCTAAGCAAGGCAGTGGGAATGGCTTAGACAAACAGGCAGAAAACACTGACCCTTCTCTGATAACTCTAACCCCGATCCTAGTAAATGTTTGCTCACAATTATATCCTATCATCTTGATGTAGGAATGAATCTTTCATGCCTTTAAGGGATACTTTTAAGACAACAAAATTAGCCCCTCCATTTATACCACATATAGTTAAAAGAAAATTCGAGTTTCAGACACTGCACATATTTCTATCTCCTCAAACACCCAGCAGTGCTTTACCCCAGGAAGCAGTCAATAAATGGTTATTGAATTTAGAATGTCCTTCTTTCCAATCAGGGAGATTTAATATATTTTCACTTTCAGAATGCCTATTAATTTTTCAGTGTTACTAAGCCTTTTAAAAAATCCATTTGGGGATGTGTTTAAGAGTTCACAAGCAAATACTATTATATAAATGACTCAGAGAAAAACTGTTAAATGAAGCATGCTTATTCAACACACCAGTAGCCATTGATAAAATGTAATTTAATTTAATCATTTAAATTTACATGGTTAATGTACAAGAGCATTTCTTTCAAACCACAAGTTAGTACACACTAAAGAGCAATGCTGTTAGAAGAGCAGAGAAACTTGGGGAAACTCTGCTGTATGAAATAAAAGCAAGGCACTCTCCATTAACAGCTGGTGGATTCCTGATTTCCCGCCCATAGGAGGCTTGTTCACACTGAGAGAGCTCTCCCACCAGGGGAAGAATCACCTGCTTTAACACTTGCCCTCTTCTGAGCTGGTGTAGTCATCCACTCTGTATAAACTTGTGTGTCAACATTAAGACTAGAGAGCGTTGGATTGATAGGTGACTTGGGAGGCTCTCATAGTTGTAGTAACTATGGAAGACAGAACAACACTGGCTGCCATCTTTATTTTCAGCACTAGCATCTGGACCTGTAACTACATCAGCTTCTTCGTTCCTTCCAACCAAGAGATTCAACAGCTAAAATGTCTTTGCCTTAAGTCTGATAAGTGCAAAAAGAAAAAGTTAGCATTTCTCCAGGGCTCTGAGTTTGTTTTGTTTTGCTTTTCCTTTACACACATGTCAAAAACAAGGATTCACTCTCTAAATACTAATGGTGTGCAAGAAGGTTATGTATGCACAGTATTTCTAATTTGTTCAAATTCAATTTGAATTTGGTCTGAAGCGATCTTGTGTGAAATGTTAGCTTTCCTGATATTTAATAATGTTTATTATGTTTGCATATAAGCTCAGGAAATTAATGCAAAAGTATTACTTCACCCATGGCTACCTTTAGGTAAAATGTAAATATTAGTAGTTATGTTTCAAAAGCTGTTTTCCTACAGATGCAGTCAGTTAAGAAAAAAAAAAAAGATGATGGAAAGATGAGTTAGGTCTTAGTCTTGATTTTGTTATTAGCTATTTGTCCTTGGCTACTCTTCACTTGTCAAAGGACCCCAGTTTCCTCCTCTGTGAATTTCAGGAGCTTGGATTGGTTGACAAGTCAGGTCCCTTCCAAACCTAACATTTCAAAATCCTAACATTCCAGGTCCTACAATCTTGATATAAAAATAATCTTTCATGAAAGCTCACACAAACATAATACATGATCAAATATCAGAACGACTCTGGGGGGGGGAAGGATATGATTTTTCTATCTGGGTTATATTTTGCAGCAGCTAGGCGATTCATTTGGCATTTGTTTGATTGTATCATTTAATGACAATATAAACAGCATAGTTTTGTTATTTTTCCTTTAAAAACACTAAAGCAAAAATGATTTAAAGCTAACAAAAACTACTGTGACATCAGTTTGACATTCAAAGTTTGTTTCTTAGCAAAATGGCCAAAGAGATTTTGACTTGGTACAGAGTATATAATATAAAGACTTTTAGACCTAAAAATCTTCATACATTCAAATTTAGCAAAACATAAGCAAAATTTTCATATCAAAGTGCTAAACAGTACTGCCTTAAAAGTCACTGCAAATGAACCATAAAATAACGGCATGGGAAGTGACATTTATTGTACAAATGGTTAATAAAAAGACACATTATAAATATATATATGTAACCTGCTATATTTATATATATATTTGCTAATTTAATTTCTAACTGGTGTATCCAAGTCACTGTGAACACCCCATTTAATTACTCTGAAACTCAGCTTCTAGGAGCTGGTGGTCTTGCAATAAATACAGGCAAAGCTATTACAATATAACGTGCATACAAATGTTTATACAAATAAGGACACTATGCAACAAAGTATCTCATAATAATATGGCATTAACAGTATAAACATACAAAAGGGAGTACGAACACGGAATGTTGAAACGCAGCCCACTAATCTTTTCTAATACTCACATTCATTTGTATATTTTTTTAAAAGAAGACTTGCTTGCTCTCCAAAATTGTCTCTTGAACCAATAGCAAAATTTAAATTATATATATGTATATATATATATATATAAATCCTTATTATCCCTGGTGCTTACCCTGTATGACCGAGTTCCTACTGATTTGCACATTCTCATTTAGATATCAAATGCTTAACTGGTTCAGCACTCCTAGGGCTTCTGAATGCATATATCAGTCCTTGACAACTGAGACCAGTTTAGGGAACTCTGCCAGTGCTGATGATCCTATGCAAGCCAAACAATGTATGTAATCCATTTTATCACCTGACTTCCTTCCCCGCTTCAGAACAGCTGGACGGTCAGGGCAAGAATCTGGTTCCATCACGAATGGCCTCAATGTCTTAGATGGGCCCTACTTCAGACAGGTTCTACAGGGCAGGTGGATCAGGCTTCTACTCAGAAAATTAGCCTGTGTCATTTGCTAACATGACTGCCTCCTTTTTTCATTTTCATGTAAAATAAAGGAGAGTTGATAAACAAGACTTAGTAAGACAGCACTTTTAAAAAATTGCACTTGTATATGGAAGCGAACAGCCATTATCATTTTTGCTATGTCTGATTTGTAGGTAATCTTCCATTTTCACCATTAGTTAAAAAAGAAAGAAAAAAATTAGGAATTTCTGCCTTGTTTGCACCACACACGTACCCTCAATACAGGAAATGTATTCTAAAGGGATCAATCTTAAGACACAGCCTACCCTGGCGAACAACCCCTGGTTGTTCTTGTTGTTAAATACAAAGCAACTATAACTGTATTCCCCAGAAATAATTTTAAAACAGTTATATTATCCTTTTCTTTTTTTTCCTGCTGGGATAGCATCGTCCAAAAGTGCTTTGTTAGCAATTTCTTAGAAAACCCTCATGAACTATACCCCACTCCCACCCCACCCACCAAAGCCTAAATATAAAACACAACCCCAACACAATACGCTACAAGTTTTCTGGCTTTAGTTTGTCAGGAAAAGTGCCAGAAAAAAAAAAAAGTCTTTGCTTTCTACAGGAGCTTCTCTTTCATTTAAAGGAAGGACAGAAAATGGTAGTGTCCAGATCCGTCTCTTTGCTGTTGAGCAAGCAGGTGCCGGCAGATGAAACTGCTCCTACTTAGAAAGGCAGGGTATCCAGGAAGAGCTTGTCAATGATGGAAGGTGGAGACACCAAGTCTTCCAGCTTCAGGTAGAAGATGCGCTGGAGGCCCAGGGTGCTGATCTTTTTCAGTTCTAACAGGGCCCCAAACACCTTGGACTCAGTGGGCTCCGGAGCCTGTCCCTTACTCTGGTGTTCTTTTAAGCTGCTTCTGATCTTGTTGCATAGCTCCTCCACTCTCTTTGGTTCTTTTAACCCATGTCGTTCTGCAAAAGGACAAAAAGGATGAGTTTAGGGAGCAAATACATCCTTACAGCCTTGGAATCCCCAGTGGAGGGCCTTGTCCTATCCTGCCACTTGGGAGGACATTTTACAGCCAACATGCCCTCAGAGTAGCTGATGGTTATGTAAAACAACTCCAGGGCTTGAAGCCCAAATGCTGCCAGTTATTTGCTGCATGCCCCCACATAAATCTCCTGACTTCGGGGCCACAGTTCACTTATGAGATAGTTGATGACGATATTCAACTCAGGGTTTCTGAGAGGGCCACTTTAGTTCCACACAATTCCTGGCACATTAGCCACACCGAATTCACAACAGAATGGTTGTTATTTTGCACACATTCTTCGTCTAAGGTCTCACAACCGCTCTTTTTCAGAGGGACACAGAAACATCCCCAGGCAAATGAATTAATGTTCCCATCTAGACCCTCACTTGAGGGAGGTAGAGAGGGTGTGGTTTGTAACTGCTAATGCCACAGTTGTTCCCAGAAGACCCAATCCAAAGTACATTCTTGCCATGCTCACTAGCACTGCGAAGCACCCAGCTTTGCTTTTCTTTTTCTTTTTTTTTTTTTTTAAAGATTTATTTTTATTATTTTGTTATTGGAAAGGCGGATATACAGAGAGGAGAGACAGAGAGGAAGATCTTCCATCCGATGATTCACTCCCCAAGTGAGCGCAACGGGTCGATACTACGCCGATCCGAAGCCAGGAGCCTCTTCCGGGTCTCCCACGCGGGTGCAGGTTCCCAAAGCCTTGGGCCATCCTCGACTGCTTTCCCAGGCCACAAGCAGGGAGCTGGAAGGGAAGCGGGGCTGCCGGGATTAGAACCGGCGCCCATATGGGATCCCGGGCGTGCAAGGCGAGGACCTTTAACCACTTGCGCCACCGCGCCGGGCCCTGCTTTTCTTTTTCTAACACCCCTGAAATCACCAATTGGCCTGCATGTGGCACTCTGTGTAAAACACAGAGGCTCTCCTGCTATGGAAATGGAAAAGTTAAACACACACAAGTATGTGGTGCAAGCAATTTATCATGTATCGAGACATGAATAGCACTGTCTAATGTTTTATGAAATAATAAAGTGACCTCCACATTAAATAACATGATCTTTTTATATATTAAGTTTAATGATTTTTTTTTTCCCCAAGTCAGCTGCTTGTAGTTGGGATTTCAACCCATTGTTCTGTGGCAGACTTTATCTTCTTATTCCACAGCAATGTCTTAATTCCCTGGAGTGAGAAAAGCATCCAACATCCAGTACAAATCCCTAAGCTCTCCCTCAGATTTTAGATGTCAGAACGTCTCTTCTAAGGAAAAATCTTGCTTGAGTTGTTTGGAAGTTTTCCTGTCTCAGTACAGTTATCCACAGAAATCATATTTTTTCTAACATGGATATTCCCAATTGAAAAAATCAGAAAAATTCTTTCCTTAAAGCAAAAGCCAATCAGAAAAATGAAGCAACTGTTCAGATTTTTTTTTTGTTCCACATAAAAGAGAAATTTATATTCTTCCCAGCTTAGGTATGACTTGGTTAAGTACCTCCGTTTTTGATACACTGGAGAAGGAAGCTAGATTTTATGATCTCAAAAGTCGATTCCGGGTCTGTTATGTTACAAATATACTAAAAGTGATGAGAAGTTTCAGCAGTATCTAAGCAGATTTTAACCTGCAGGCATTGTGGCATTAAACAGTTAAACAGTTCTGGATTTCTAGTTACAGTTCTAGTACATAATAAATAGGTGACCTAATTTCTCTAAGGTTCAATGATCTTATAGGAAAACAGGGAACACAGGTAGTAAATATACAAATCTTGTATTCTACCTGTAGATTTCAAATAGTACACATTCAAGTCAAAGAAAAAGGAGATTAGAATAAAACTGATCTCCACTACAGGGAGTGAAAGACTCAATTAAGATGATGTAACCTGAAAGTGTTGTCAACTGTAGAGTACCACACACAATAGCAGTCAGCATCGTGACAAAGTGTGACAGGTGGCAAGTGGCTGGCAAAGCCAAGGCCAAACCAAAGACAATAAAGCCCCTACTTCCTAAGTTTTACTGTGCATGATTTTGCTTTTCCCCGAAAACTGTGAGCTAATCACCCCAGGTACAAACCCATCTCCTTGGCTTATCTTTACTAAATAACTAGTTCCTGTGTGTCAGTCTCAGAGGAAGTACCCAAGAATGAACTCACAGAGAAATCTTTCCTGCAATGATAGGTACCTTCAGTTTTATTTTATCCCCCAAGAGCAGAAGATCAGGTTGCAAATGCGACAGTAAATTTCAAGAGTGATAAAGCATTTATAGCTTCTGACCCAGTAATCTCACTCTTGGGAATTTATCCAGAGGAAAAATTCAGCAGAACAATAACCCTGAATACATAGGATTATATACTATTAATCCTCTGCCCCATACAAAAACATACAAATAAAGAAAGAGTAGGGGACTGTTAAGTAAATAATGGCATGTTCATATAATGATCCTGTAAGCATCAATACATTCAGATGCTATGAAGGCAATATAGAAAATCACAATATGGAATAAGAATATTTACATATGTATGATGTGATTACATCTATGTAAGGATTACTTTTGCATATAAAGAAAGCTGAAAGAAACCAAAAAATTGAAAATAATTACGAGGTAATAGGGTTACTTGTTCCTTTCTTTTAAAATGTTTCTTTTTAAATGTTCCTTTCTTTCTTTTAAAATGACCAGGTGAGTACTGTTGGTATAGTAACGTTAAACAGAATGCTAAGAAATCTGGTTCTTTGTGAATATGAGCAATATGCCAGCTGAATTTCTGGATGGGGTTGATTGTGGAATCTTGTATACCATGGCTTTCTCATGGTCAAAGTCACAGAAGGAGCTACTGAGTTTTCCCCTGCTCTTCAACCAGTGGTGACTGCTCAATAACTATGGCAACCATTATTTATTCAGTGAATTCAAGTGGAGATCGATACCTCCTGCCAGCTGGATCTGCCCTACGCCTGGAATTCCTTGAGGAATTCAGAGACGCTCCTGTTAGCAGCCAAAGGCATCCCAAGGCTTCTTTGTTGTTCTGAAACAGCCACTGGATTTGTGGCTTCTTCACTTTTTTGAAAGAGCTGAGAGAAATTTCGGTTTCCATGCAAACTCCTGTCAGGGAGTCACTAAATGACTGGGACCTTCCTAGTCATCTGAAATTCCTTAAAGGCCCCCTTAAGACCCCCTTATTGACACTTTAGCTGAAGGCGCCCAGTTTCTTCTTGCAGCTTGGTAAACATGGCTGCGAAACAGATACATGGAGAGTGCATCAATTCAAAGGGAAGCAGACACTGAGATTTCTCCAACTTCCCAGAGATTTTAATTTAAGATTTCCATCCACCATGAAACAAAGGAAGCTTCTGAGTATTTTTTTGCATTTTGATTTACATTATTTTTATCTAATGCCTCAGTAACTTAGGTGTTGCCTATTGCAAATGTTAAAATGCAATTTACAGAAATGATTATGCAGTAGAGTTCTGTGTCACAATTATGCATGTGAACTGGACAGGGTTTGAATCATTTACTTCAGATATCCACCTCAAAAAACAATCTCCAGTGCATAATATCACAGAGTGTAAAGTGTAAGGTGCCAATTGGACTCAAAGTACACTATACAACATGTACAATAAAATATGTTCAATAGCACTTTACATTATTTGGATTATTTTATCTGACTCTCAGAACAAGCCTATGGATTAGGCAGGGCAAATACTAATTTTTGTAATAGATAAGAAGGCTAAATTGACTTCCCCATAGTGAAAACTAGCAAGTGACTAATTCCTTTCCCTTCAAGTCCAGAGATCATTCTATACGAGGCTACCTTTTAACATGTCCAATTTTGGAGCGCTCCTCCCCATCCTGAGATGAATTGGCCTATATGGAATTCCCTTTCACTTTGTAGATGCCTAAGTGAACTAATTAGTTACTTCTTTCAACAAGCAGGTTTTTGAGTACCTATTCTGTGGCAAGTAATGTTAGAACTGCTGCGGTTAGCAGCGAAGAGACGGGCTTAGGTTTTTAATTCTGCTCTGCTGTTAACATCTAAAGACATGTTTGGATTCCTGGACATTTTAGCTATCCAAATCACAGATTTCTCTGCTGGGAATGAGAGGAAGGGAGGGAGGAGAGAGGAGTTCAGAAGGGGTGAGAAGAAGAAACAGATGGAGTGAAATAACAGAGCTAAACTGTGCGCTTACATTTTCCCATGTTGGCCTCTGTATCTAAGAGCCATTCATCCTTTCTATCTCAAGTCAGGTGTTTCTTCAAGGAAGCTTCCTTGTTACACTCAGCCTAGATTATGTTCTCCCTCAGCCCTCTCTTGTTCTTCTTTACAGGACCTGAACGTTTAAAATCAGGTATTTACATGACAACTGCCTATCTTATCCATTAAAGACAAGCTCTGTGGAGACACCAAGGACATTTGCTCCTCACTGTATCTGCAGCACCAAGCCCAGGACGTAGGGCATATCCAATATATTGGTATTTGTTAAATGAGTAAATGACTCAATGAATACTAAGATACAGGTTGCTCAGAATTAATACAGAGATTGGGAGCTAGTGATCAAGAAACCAACAATGGCGGGAGAGGTGGGCATTTGGCACAGAAGTAGAGCTGCTACTCAGGGTGACCACACCCCATATCTAAGTCCCCGATTGGGATCCACGTTCCACTTGGCTTTGCAATACAGACCTTGGGAAGCAGCAGGTGATGGGCTCAAGTGCTCATGTTCCTGCCACCCGTGTGGGAGACCATGATGGATGTCCTGGTTCCTGGCTTCAGCCTGGCCTAGCCTTGGATGTTATGGGCATTTGGGGAGTGAATCAGGGCATGGGAGATCTCTTTCTGTCTATCTCTGACTCAGCTTATCTAACATAATGAAAACAAACACTTTTTAAAAGATGCTAAAAACAGTGAAGTCCTTTTCATGCCTCCACCAGCAGAAGTTGGGAATAAAT